GGTTGAGGGTTTGAGGAAGGTTGAAAGAGAGTTTTGGAAAATATTTTTCCTCCTCTTGGTAGGGAAGTCATATTGTTTTTTTCAAACATTTAAGCCAACTAAACACGGAAAAATTGGAATACTAAACACACCCAAAGAAAGAAAAGAACTTGCTTTTTATTTGAGAGAAATGCATATTGATATGTGGGCTAATATTTTCCTACTTGAAATGCAGTGAATGAAGGTATGGGGCGAAGAGCGATGGCCAAGGCCATAGTTGAATCAATAGCTCTATTTTTGGTTACTGAGCTTCAGAGTTTCCTCCTGTGACGCCTTTTTGAGAAGAAGCTTAAGTCATCTAGAGTCTAAAGCAGTGGCAGAGTCAGAAATTCTAACAAGGGAATTCGAAAAATGCAAGAATGCTGCACATGATATTTGAACCTGCAACCTAAAGCAATTACCAAATTTGTAACTTGAAGCCAGTCTTGCTAATCAAGAAAATTTTGATGTCTATAATGTATTGTAAATAGATAAAGAAAGGGCAACCAGGTGCACTAAGCTCCCGCTATGCGCAGGGTCCGGGAAAGGGTCGAGGAGGGACTATTGTACACAGTCTTATCCTGCATTTCTGCAAGAGGCTGTTTTCACCACTTGAACACGTGACCTCCTGGTGGCAGCAACTTTACCAGTTGTGCCAAGGATAATGGTGTAAACAGATAATAGGAGAAAACAACACAATAACTACAAACTAGTGTGATTAATGAAGCTAATTGAAACAAACACCTTACAACAATGATAATTAGATATATGTGTGTGTGTGTGTGTTTGTATAGCTTCGGATATTTATGTTTCCATTGCAAGGAAATCCAATCAAGAACGCCAATAAATCAATTAAGATTAACCAATCCCTCCTTAGCCTTGGCAAGAAAATCAAGATAATAGGAGCAATGATGTAGTTAAGAACTTGAGATTAAAAAAAATAAACAAATATAGATCATTAATATTTTGGCAGCAAAAGCCTGCAATTTGAGCAAATATTCCAAAATACAACAGCAAAAATCCCAGTATTCCTTATCAGATCTTGACTACAGTCCAGTGTTCTAGCGCACTCGCAGCATCAGGTTTCAACCAACATCTCCACTGCAGCATGTAGGAGCCAAGACAGTTCATGATTCGGTCGCAGTAGATTGCATACAACAGAACCATTTTTTCTGAAAGACAGTGCACTCAAAAAGTTATAATCTGGAATTTATGTATAAAATGCAGACATGCTACTCAACAAAAGGAGATGAGCAACCACATAACTTTGTTCGATCTTAATCATTGTTAACTAAAATATTGATGCACAACCAATTGTATTGACCTTCAGCAAATAGTGAAGCTCCATAAATAATGGATGAAAGCAATCAATTCTTGGAGAATTTGCACAATAACACAAGTATCCTGCTTAATCGTTGATGAGGAATTCCTCAAGTTAAATGTTATTATCTTGTTCTCTGAGTATGTGCACTGGTTATAGATAGAGATGATATATGCATGACATTTGGACTCGGGTTGTGTACAAAGAAACGGAAGATAGTTTACAGTTTTAGTAGTAACTTCTAAGGATCCTATAGGATGAGAATAATACAGAAAGCAGTCAGAAAGCAAAAAATATAAATCTTGAACAGAAAATGCTCCGGTATATGGACTGATCTAAAAAAGCAAATTGTATGACTACATATAATGGATCCTTGTAAACAATACACGACTTATCCTGATTCCTGACAATGTTATCGTTATTGTTATGAGAAATGATATTTGATGTTGTAACATAACCATCCTTTATTTCAGCTGTGAGTGCGGAACATACTATTAGAACACCAGTTCGAACAACATTCTCTATAAACGCAACTTAGTGTGTTAACAAGGTTTCGAGAACCTTTTTCATCAAACGATCAAACTTGAAGCAGGAATGATAATCTACATAATACAACACAAGTGCCAGAACTAATAGCCATTATGTGGGCAACAACTTACCGATTGAGGTTTTCCAAGCATTGCTTTATTCTTGTATGCAGAATCACCCTTTGGTGGGGAGTCTATCTTGCCACCTTTCTTCTCATTTCGAGCTTTATTAAAGATCACTGTGAATCCCTCAGCTGAAGCTGGATCATTTACATCCCACTCACCAAACTTAGGAAGAGGACGCCCTTTGTCCTGTAGATATTAAAGATACCTATCAGATAATTTGCAGTTCTACAGTTCTATGTATAAAAATAACAACAATAATAATAGCATCAACACCACATTGAATTGACATTGACATGTTAAATGCATAGTAATGGTCAACAAGTCAAAGCATCAAACTTCACAAAGAATTGATCAGATAGAAACAAGAAGCATCATCAACTGGCTACATTCTAATTGTTGACTACTGAAATGTCACAAAATGCAATGTCAGAAAGCAGCACATCATCACACTGGTGCAAGAAAGCTACTAATGGCAGATTAAACATCGTCAAATAGATACACATAGTAACTAGCATCACGAAAAGGTATTTCCTATTAAACTAATCAAGCTATGGCTCGTACTAAGCAAATGCTTCAGTATTGCAAAGTATGTCAAGCAGCAAAAGAGCGCACGAACTAAGATTCTCAAGTGCATGCAAAAACCTACTGGGAAGGGGAGGAGGCAAAGGACATAGGGAGTTCCGTTTATCCCACGGATCATTCGAGCTCCC